GCCCCGACTCCACGGCCTTCATCCAGCCGCCCCCCGTGGTGGTCACCTTCCCCGGCCCCATCCTCAGCTCCTTCCCCCAGCAAGCCGTGGTGGGCTCCGCCGGAGCCCCCGCCTTTGGGGGCTCCCTGGGGCTGGGGGGCCTCTACGGCGCCGGGGCCACCCAGGGCTCGGGGGGCCTCTGCACCTTTGCCAGAGCTCCCGCCTGCAGCCCTTGTGTCCTGCCCCGCTCCTCCAGGAGGATCTGGGACACCTGCGGGCCCTGCTAGACCCAGCCCACACCCCACTGCCACTGCTGTCCCCACTCCAGCAGCGCTGCTCTGGGCAACATCCCTTGGGCTCCTCCAGCATGTGACAACCAGCCTGGCTGGGTCTTGCCCACCATCTCTCTCACAGTCTCTCCTGCCCCTCTCTGCACAATAAACTTTTTCTGCATCCAAGTCATGTCTCTTTCCAATATTTTCCAAAGCCAAAAAGACCCAGGGGTCGTGACCTTTGGCAGCTGAGGGAGTCCAGGAACTTCTTCCTTGCACAGTTTTTATTAAAGGCAAAATATTCCTCATAATGTAAAAAATGACTGTGAAAATAACACCAGAGGTTGCTGGGATTTTTCTGAGCTCTGAGGATTGGAACACCCCATAATGAAATGATATATTAAATTACATATATTATAAGACAACTTTGGCATTCCCACCTCTTCCCCCCACTGCTTGTTAGACAGGAATTACTATTTCATATTGTACTTCAAGAAATGTGACAAAGGTAAAATATTCCCTATCAAAAAAGCCTCATTGCTTATATTAATATCTAATTAACTCATCAGTAATTAGCATGGTATGAATTAAATGCACCTCTGCCTGGTACTGGCAATTTATGCACAGGCAAATTTCTCCCAGAGAAGAGGAAGAGAAAGAACATTGCGAAACACCAGTTTATGATGCACCATATATTTAATGAGCAAGAAGTAACATTAAAAAAGAAAAAAAAAAGTACAGCATAAAAAAGCAGCAGGGTTTCTATGGATAAAATTAAAATTAATTCTAAAATTAATTCTAAAATTAATTCTCCGTTTCCAGGCAGCGCTTTACAGCTGGACAGGCAACAACCCAAAAATGCATTTCTCCCGCCTCGCTGATAACACAGGGAGGCCTCAGATCAGCAATGCCAAGCTCCTGCAGTCCCAGTAGCTCAGGGGGAAAGCTGAGGGGAAGGCGGGGGTCAGCAAGCCGTGGGTCACCAACTCAGTCCTGCAGTTGGGTCGCGCTCCTCATCTCCGGGGTGGGATGGAGGGGGTCCCTTCGGGGCCGTTCCTCGACTCCTCCTCAGGGCCCGCAGCGGTTGGAACGGCGGTAGGACCTCCCATAAAGGCCCCCCAGCCCCGAATACCCGAGGCTGCCCCCCAACCCCAGGGAGCCCCCCGAGTTGATGGGGACCCCCCCGGCGCTCAGGGCGTCGCCCACGGCGGCCGAGGCCGAGGAGCCCACGGCGGTGTTCTGGGGGAAGGAGCTCAGGATGGGCCCGGGCAGCGTCACCACCACGGGCGAGGGTTGGATCACGTAGGTGGAGTCCTGGCACTGCCTCACGCAGGGCTCGTTGCAGCTGTTGGCCAGCGGGGTGGGCCCGCAGGAGGTGGGGGCACACAGGTCGTAGCAGGACATGGCTGGTGTGTGTGGGGGGGTTGTCACCCAGGCTGGAGCACTGGCAAGGAAGTGAATCTGAGGAGAAAGCTGTAATTAGTCGTGTAATTAAGCTGCCAATGCGAGGGAGAGTGAGAGACACTGTGGAGGATGGAATAACGTGTTAGTCTTGGCTTGGAAGGAGGCTTTGATCAAGCCCAAACTCCTGTCCACGACACAGAACAAGAAGCCTTTGATGGCTCATTTCCCACCACGCTCCTCCAGGGTCCTCCAAGCCCTGGGTGGGGAAGTGGGGGACAAGGCTCATGATCTGTCAGAAAAGGGAAGGAAAAACTCTGCCCCAAAACGGAGAGGAAAAATTCAGATTTCCTCAGCAAGTAAAAGTGAGGAGCATGAACTCCCCTGTGAGGGTGGGGACAGGTTGCCCAGGAGACATCCCAAACCCACCTGGATGTGTCCCCGTGTCACCTGCTCTGGGTGACCCTCCCTTGGACTGGGTGATCTCCAGAAGTCCTTTCCAAGCCCAGCTATTCCGAGGTCCTATTCTGAGAGCCAGAATCCCTGCACAGAATCACCACTTTCCAATTGCTGAGCAACCCACAGGGAGAGATTCGAACGTTTTGGAACGGAATTATTTGGTGACACAAATGAAAAATGAGCCTTGAGTCCGGCACCCACAACCTCCACCAGAACAATCACCTTCTCCTGGAAAAAAAAGCTGCTTGATGGTCCCCCCCCCCCTTTCCCCACAGAGCACAAACCTCAGACTGCTACAAAGGAAAGGTAAAAATAAAATACAATGAAGGCAACAATTCAGGACATGGAAAAATAGGAAACAAATCAAGACTTACCTTTTCCACCAAGGAGAATAAAGCAGAAGTGGATGAAGCTCCTCTGACTGTGCTGCCTTTTATACTCTGGCCCAGAGAGCCTGAGGATCT